CAAACACAGGGGCAGTTCTACATTCTTTGAGGTTAAAGCGAAGCTCAGGTGAGAACTGGAACTCTCCCATTCGGCAGGAGAAGGAAGATTTGAGAACTGTCATTATACATAATATCAACACTACTTCATCTGTCATCCTCTCCTTAGATACACGACGTATTTCACAATAACTGGAAAATGCCAACAGAAAATAGCACTCCTACGCCTACTGCTAGAATGCTAAACTCTCATCAGAAGCACAAATGAGGATAAAACTACCGACACTTAAACGACCCTCTGTGCAAACCATCACTTGCAACTTCCACATATTTCTCCATCTGATGAGCTCCCCAACTCAACTATTTAAACAAGTTACGTTTCCAAACGGTCACTGTGAACCTCAGAAGACATCATCCCCCAATTTGGGAACCAACAGAGAACTTACATCTGATTCAAGACCTCATGACCACACGGTGGTCAGGACAGGTTCTCCAGGGTCCTGAGTCAGCAAGGTGCTTAAGCACATTCATTGGGAATGGACAGAACGTGTTCTGTAATCAGGAGATTACAAGTTCTGGTTTATTCTTTCAGCAAGCTCAGAGAGGTGGACACTGTACCTGTAATTTTACTGGTAATGGTGGTAAACTGAGATAAAAACAATTTCCCCAAACAGTACTAACAACAGACTAAGGAATATTGCAGCTTAATGCCATCTACATGAATACTTCATGGGTAAAACACCAGTGCACAGCAATTTTAACCACAAGATGCACACTATATTCTAGCCATTCCAACTTAGGCTGATCTGGCCAAAGCACCTTAGCCTTGCTCTGCAGCCTATCCACTATTTCAGTGGGAACATCTCCTGTTAATCACACTGAGCAGTAAGGTGTTGTAAATGAGGACAGATGCCTTCTGTCACCAAAGCTGAAGCTACCAGATTAATTTAAGTTATGGCTTACGGTGAGCATGAACCAAGCTGAACTCTCCAGGGAGAAAAGGTCAGTGTTCTGCTGGCTGCTCACACCTCTTAACTCACTGCTTCTGACAAGCAAGTGGAGACAGGCAGAAGGAAGGCACCAACATGGAATGCTGCTGTTCCACCTGCAGGACACTGTGCGTGTTCCACCTTGAGATGAGCAGAGCTTGTTGAGATGGAAGCTCTGAAATCACTTCTTTAAAGTTATTCTCCGAGCATTCTTAAGTTGTTTTGCTTTTTAAGCACGTTAAGATTGATGTGTTTTGAGAGAACAGAGGCCCCTTCAAATAAAATCAGACTCAATGGAAGCAAAATGATGATGAGGCTGCATTCCGATCTGATCTCAGTTTCTCCATAGAATCAAGGCCGGTTCCACCACCACCCATTTTAATTTAAGGAAGTGCTGAAGGAGCAAACTGCTGCTGCCTGTACCCATAGCAACTTCCATATCAGCACTGTGGTGACTACGATTGGCAAACAGAGGAAGTTTTTGCACTAAACCTCTGCAGATGTCTAACGCATGAAAATTGCAACTTAGAACATATTCTTATTCCTGCAGATTTCTTCGTCACCACGTTCCCCTGACATGCCAGAAATAGGGCTAGCAAAGCACAGAAACATCTTTTTGTGCTCAGTGCTCTCTTCCCTAAGAACACAAACACCAAAAGAATGGGAAGCTTTAAAACCATGGCACTTAAGCAACGGCAACGATGCCAAGCATTTCACCTACCTGATCACATATCAAATGGGAACTAAAATCCAACCTTCTCTTTTTGAAACTTACCTCCTCTTGAAACTTCTTCAGCTGCTGCTCGTATTCCCTAACCAAGTCCTGTTTGGCTGTTTCCATGTCTTCCAGCTGCTGCCGTAACTTGCCAACCTGAACCAAGAATTAAAAAGCAGATGAATAGAACACAGACATTTCACTGCCAGGGATTTGTCTTCATTTTGTAAGTATACACAGTAGTGGAAATGGTAAATGAATGTTAAGAGATCCCAGTTTTCCAAGCTGGGGTCAGTCCTTCTGAAAGCAATTAAGCTTATGTCCACATGTCTGGTTGGCTGGGATGAGAACTGCCTCAGTTCTGACCTCGTGTTCTCAACCAGTGCCTGCCTTCCACTTGTTGAGATGAAGCTGACACTTCTGCCTTGTGCCAAAAGGTTGCTTTTCTTTGTCATTTTCATCAAAGTATTAATTATAAACATCCATTACGATTTCAAACTACCTACCAGGAGAAGAGATGGCCGTGTCATCCTCTTACCACAGTTAGATGAAGCAGAGATTCCAAATAACGCATGGACAAAGAAAGTGCTTTGAAACTCTTGGGGAAGACTTCCCTTCCCTTGATCCAAATCCTCTCATTCCCCTTCTTTTTTCCCCTGACCCTTTTCCCATCCATGACCCAGAGCAGTCACCTTTCTAACTGCAGCTCCAGAACACAGTGAGCCAATAAACAGGCAGCACAGTAAAATTAGAAGAAATCATTAGTGACAATTCATATGAATAAACCAAGAGTATGAATATACCTCAGCAGTGCTTTTAACCATAATGCACAATTTTGAAATCAGTGCTCACTTCTGGTGGTAAAAAGTACTACGGGAGGCTCTTGCCTTACTTAGCACAGCTATTTGCTGATCTTAACTCTTCGCTTTGGCTTGACATTTAAGCAAGCATAAAGAGGAGGAAGTTTTTCACCCAGAGGGTGGTGAGGCACTGGAACAGGTTGCCCAAGGAGGCTGTGGATGCCCCATCCCTGCAGGCATTCAAGGCCAGGCTGGATGTGGCTCTGGGCAGCCTGGGCTGCTGGTTGGTGACCTGCACACAGCAGGGGGTTGGAACTGGATGAGCACTATGGGCCTTTGCAACTAAGGCCATTCTGTGATGCTATGAAACTGCAAAAAAAAAAAAACCTAACTCAAAACTGATGAAACACAGGAAATGTAGATCCACACAAAGTCAGCAAACTCTGAAGTTCACCCTTCAGCCTTTCTGTACCTCTTTATGCTTTTCCTCCAGCGCAGCCCTGGCAGAGGAAAGTTCCTGCTCTCGAACACCCAAGCAAGCTTCCAGTGCCTGGGTCTGTCCCTCCCATTCCGCCTTCTTGTGAGCCACCATGATGTCAATCTGCTTCATCAGCTCCTGCAGCTCAGCTTCACAGGATGTCAGGAAGCCACTGCTGGAAGGGAGCGAGCTTCAGGTCACAAAGAGGAGCACAGAGGTCCCGCATCCCCACACCAGTGACACCAGTGATTGGTGTGGAACATCATCAGGCAGAGACCTAAACTTGGCAATGACTAACGGGGCATGCTTTGGAAACCCCAGTCAGAACAAATGGCCCCCATGCTTTTACATGCAGTGTGTTTTGTCTTCTAATGTCACAGCAAGCCCCCATGACCACTGGTCCCTTTGTCTTGCTACCACGCATTACCTAAGTAAACCACAACACGTTCTGCCCATATTTTGCATTGCCCCTAATTGCCCTCCAGGCACGGGCGCTTTATATCCACTTTCAGTCACCAGAGAAACCTCCCAGCTCCTGAAAACAAAAGCGTATCACAAATGCAGACAAACCCCTAAGTGGAGGGGGTTGGATGACAACATGATAATGAAGAATAAAACATCCTCCATCCATTGGGGAGAGCACGCTCCCTGGCGATGCTGCAGCTTCTAATTTGGTGCAGTAATTATTGAAGCCAATTCAACCAACTCCTGTAAAACTTCACAAGTGCTAAGCTAGGGACAATATTAAGGCTTGCAAGATACAGCCCTGGAGGGCTGTGAACTCCATGATGATCTTCACCCCTTTAATTTGACTGTCAAATGGAAGGCTCTGGAAAGGAACGGAAATCAATAGGTTAAGGGATTGAAATTTCTCTGCTCCCCCAGAGCATACGCAGACTTCACAAGCTGACAGTTTTTCTATAGGGAAAGAAGTAGCTCTTACAGCAGCCAAAATCAGTTAAATTGGAAGTTCACCCTGGCCTGTGAGTTAACCAAAAATTAGCAGCTATTATGCACAGCAAGAACATTTCCTTCTCAGCATCTGCTGATACACAGCTATGTCTAGACTGCATTTATACAGCCAGTTAGCTGGAGAAGATGCAGCACTGAGTCACGTTCTCAAAGACAGTGATGAAAATGGTGTCAGTGTCTTTGGTTTTGTGTATAAATAAAGCATTGTTATTCCATTAGTGGCACTGCAGCCTCTCTCTGGGATCTCCAGGTCCAGAGGCCTTCACTTAAGGGTTCCTCAGGGACAAATGGGTGTCTGCAGCTTCAGCACAAGCAGGAAGCAAGCAGGTGCTCTCAATACAAACATATGTCTCACTGGGCTCTTAAGAAAAGCATTTATTCACACTTCTACTCGGCGTCATCCCTGACGCTCCAAGGCAAGAAGGGGCTTTTTAAAAGGGAAATTAAACGGGTGGTGTTTTTAGAGAGGCAGAACACAGAGATGCTGACACTACAGACTGCGAGGCAGTGAGGGATCGCTGCGAAGTGCGGAAGCAGCCACGATGCTGTGAGCCACTGCGTGCTGCCTGCCGAAGGCACCAGATAAACACTAAGAGCATCACTGACACCACGGGAGCGTGGCAGAAGGGTGGCTCAGGTAGAGCATAAGAGGGAAGCCCTACAGGGAGAGTGTTGTAAAGGACAGGCACGCACTCGTGCATACATACCTCCCCTGGCCATTCCTCTGCATTCCTGCCAGCAGAGCCTCCATCACCCAACGCCGGTGGGTTCAGCAGCGGGGAAAGCACGCCAAGCAGCGGTCACCACCGCATCCACGGGCAGCGGGAGGGGAAAGGTGGGGAAAAGACGCTACGCCACGAGAAGCGGGCAGAGGCACGAAGTGACGGGGCAGACAGATGCTTGGTTGCTACAGAACAAGAAGGCTCTGCGCCGGGGGCACCGGGCACACCGGGGGCACGGCGCCCACCCGCAGAGCGCTGCCGGCCGGGGCGGGGAGGGCACGGCGGCGGCGGCGGGCGGTGATGACGGTGGCGGAGGGCGCCGGAACACCGCGCCGGGATGGGGCGGAGCGCTGCCGGCCGCTCCGAGAGCGTTGGGTCGCCCGAAGCGCCGCGCGTCCCCGCGGGCCGGGGGGTTGGGGGGGTACGGAGCTGCCTCGGAGGGAGAGGATGGACAGCGAGGTGCAGAGGGACGGCCGCATCCTGGATCTGATCGATGACGCGTGGCGGGAGGACAAACTGCCGTACGAGGACGTGGCCATCCCGCTGGTAGGTGCGGCGCTGCATGGCGGCACGAGTCCGCACGGCACATACACGGCTGGGCTGTCCCTGAGCTGCTGGGGTCATAGCATCACAGAATGGCTCGGGTTGAAAAGGACCACAAGGCTCATCTCGTTCCTGAGCTGTGCGCAGGGTCACGTCCTTCCTGAGCCAGCAGTGTGCTCTTGCAGCTCGGAAGGAAAATGGGATCCTGGGATCCATCAGAACACGCGTGGCCAGCAGGGACAGGGAGGTGATTGTTCCCCTCTGCTCTGCTCTTGTGAGGCCCCATCTGCAGTACTGCGTCCAAGTGTGGAGCCCCCAGTACAAAAAGACAGGGAGCTGTTGGAGAGGGTCCAGAGGAGGGCCACGAAGATGATCAGGGGACTGGAGCACGTCCCCTATGAGGACAGGCTGAGGGAGCTGGGCTTGTTCAGCCTGGAGAAAAGAAGGCTGCGGGGTGAGCTCATTGCAGCCTTTCAGTACCTAAAGGGAGCCTACAAACAGGAGGGGAATCAACTCTTTGAAAGGGTAGATAACTGCAGGACAAGGGGAAATGGTTTGAAGTTGAGGGAGGGGAGATTTAGGTTGGACGTCAGGGGGAAATTCTTTGCTATGAGAGCAGTGAGGTGCTGGAAGAGCTGTGCAGAGAGGCTGTGGATGCCCCGTCCATCCCTGGAGGTGTTCAAGGCCAGGTTGGATGGGGCCCTGGGCAGCCTGGGCTGGTATTAAACGTGGAGGTTGGTGGCCCTGCCTGTGGCAGGGGTTGGAGATTCGTGATCCTTGAGGTCCCTTCCAACCCTGGCCATTCTGTGATTCTGTAATTCCTGTACTGGGGGCCCCAGGCCTGGACACAGTGGTGCAGATGGGGCCTCACAAGATCTGAGCAGAGGGAGACAATCACCTCCCTCTCCCTGCTGGCCACCCCTTTTTAATGCAGCCCGGGATATAGTTGGCATATTTGTCTCCCTTATCACTTTTCCAAATGCATCTTTGTAGTTGCCACTTCAAGGGCAGCAGTAAACACACTGCTCTCTACAAGTAGGATTCCCTGTCTGTGAACCCTTAGCCATGAGGAGACGTGGCAGCCATAGAATCATTGAATTTCTCCGCTTGGAAAAGACTTTAAAGATCATCAACTCCAACCACAACCAAACCATCCTACCATTGCACAGCTGTACCACTGCTAGGCCCCACCTCAGCCATTTGGGAGCACCTGTGGATAGAGATGTATGTGAGGATCCTCCCCTTCTCTGTTAACACAGCTGTAAGTTGGCTAGCACCAATGAAGTAGTCATGCCAAAATCACAGCATCTGATAAGCTGATGGTTTCTGCCAGCAAAGAGATGTTTGCAAATTGCCAGTGACATCACTTGGGCTTTAGTCCTTACATCACAGTGTGTCATCACTCTTGGAAGAAGTGCAGCTCAGGATCTTCTCAGCAGAGGAGACGAGGAGCAGCTACTCTCCTCCAAAATCGATAATACACAGCAATTCCTGCCAAGAGGGAAAGGTTTTGCAGAACTGTAGTTCTCAGACAGGAGTACCCAGCCCCTCCTTTGCTGAGGATAATGTGTTCTTGAGGCAGACTTCGTTCACAAACCGCTTCTTTGCTGACATTTGCCATCACCCTGTGTCCAGGTTGAGAAACATTATGGCAGCCTCAAAGCAGGAAGCCTCATCAATTAACAATAAAAATAAAGGTGTCGTTGTGGATATGCAGATCCCCAGGGATGGGAATGGCTCTCATCATATGGAGAAGCCAGCACAAATTCACAGGAGATTTGATCAGAAGCTCTGTTAAAGAGCTATCAGAATGGCTGTAACGTGTGAGCCTATCCTGAGCATCTGATCAGTGCTCACTGCAGAGATCTCCATCAGCTCGCGTGGCCAAAGTCATATTCTTTTTTCTAAAGGGATTTTATGTAGCTCATACTGAGATTTCCAGAGATCCAGACTCAGAATTCTTGCCCCTTGTCTTCTGGAATAACACACTTTGTGACTGCACTGATGCAGCAACACAGGGAACAAATAACGTAAGGAAGTAGAATGAAATCACATTTAAACTTTCCTTCCTCCTCCCTGCAGGCTGAGCAGCCTGGTGTTGCACTTGGTGGGGGTTTCTGACATCTCCTGTTGTTACAGCACAGCCACACCAGAGTTCCACGTGTAGGAAGAGGAAGGATTTCTCACCTTGCCATAAGAAAGTGATATGTTACAAAGCCAGCTGTCTCAATACAGCTACAGTAAATGCAATATCTGTATTCTGGGCAGCGACAAAGAAACACAATCCAAACAAGCAGTGGAATAATTGCACCATGCTATTATTTACTTATTTTGCATTTTCTATATATTCTCCTTCACTGCGTGTGCAGTCTGAGTACATAGCAAGGCCCCAGGGCCCTGGAAAGCCAATTTACCTTTCAGATGAAGCATCATAATCATATGAAAAGAACATTGTTCCTCACTGGGCTTAGTAATATTTTAACTGAATCAGTATGTATGATATGTATTGTTCAGATGCCCCCTCTGGTCTCATTTGTGGATTTTTGTATTTATTCATATGAAGTCTTCGTCACCTGCTCCTTTTAGGAAGCTTGTTATGCACAGAATGCATTGTACCTTTTTTTGTTGTTCTCAGAATGAGCTCCCTGAACCAGAGCAAGACAATGGAGGTACAACGGAGTCTGTGAAAGAGCAAGAAATGAAGTGGACAGATTTGTCTCTGCAGTATCTCCATGAAAACGTCCCTCCCACGGGAAACTAATGAATCCAGGGGACTTCCTGTAAAATTATGTCTTCTGTTAACTTATTCTTTAGTCAGTACCAGTTCTGTTCTTAAATGTTTTCTACACGTGATAAAAATGTACTTTTCACTATCTGGAGTTGTTCTTGCATTTCAAAACCCAGGATGGGATGTTTGTGACCACGGAGGTTTATGTCCCAAGAAATAAAACTGTGCTTTGTGTTAGAGTTCGCTATACAAAACCCAGATAACCACAGATCAGTGGTGGCACTGGACATTGCCAGTGCTGACCTCCATATATTTTCCAGTACACATTGTTTAAACGGTGCCATTTGTGCTAAAATGATTGTTACTCAAAATCTCTGCCTTTTGGCTGAGTCACAGGGAAGAGCCTGCCAGTGCCAGCATAGTGACTGACAACAGCTGCTCAGATGAGCTGTCTCACAGGGAAACAGCCATGGAAGTGAAGTGATGGGGAAAAGGAACGAGGGGAGCTTAGCTTCAGGCAACAAAAATGTTACCTCTTCTTATGCTGAGAAGAAAGGCAAGGCCCTCTTTATTTCTTTCCCTCATTTTATCTCTGACTCTCAAACATCTTTTGCAATAGGTAAAAGCCTTCCCTTCATCTTGCGTGTTTCACTCTTGGACTGATTCCTTCACACCGTTGGCAGAACTTGCTAAGGAGAAAATATTTTGACAGTTTAGGACTACTGATAGAGGTGAGAAAGAATCTGGAAGGAAAACAATATTTCAGAGTATTTTCTATTGCCAGCGCGTCAGAAAATAAAGGCATTTTTCTGGAGCCCACAGCTTCCAGATTCCACAGAAATCTTTTGGGTATCTTTTCACAATGTTTATCCCCTTCAAAATCAACAAAACCCAACGTTGGCCTGTGTGAGTATCACATGGAGCATCTCGGATGTCCTGGAAGGCTGTGAGTGCTCAGCCGCAGGAGGATGCTCAGTTTGAGAAAAAAACGTGTGTGGCTGGGGCTGCTCCTGCCTGAGGAGTTAGCAGTGCCTGCACTGAGCCAGCAGTGTGCTACTCTGAACAAGAAGGAGCTGCAGGCAGCCAGCAGGCTGTTCAGGATTAACCCAAGCTTCATATGTATAGTACAGACCAAAGAAACAGCTACGCCGCTGGGAACAGTAATAGTTCAGCTCCTCGCTGCATCTCACCAGGGGCAAAACAGAGCTTGGGCTTAATGAGGTATTTCTGATCCTCCCCATGTTCCCTTTCCCTGTAAAGGAAACACTAGAAGCTGTGTGGTGGCTTTGTCTATCCGTTTTCTCTTGCCCTCCTCTCTCACTCCATCACAAACTCCATCCCCATCGCACCGATTTCGCCACAAGATTTTCCAGCTCTGATTTCAGGCTTCCTTTCCCAGCCTTGACAGTTGTCCCTGCATCTGCCATCTTCTTACTGTCCAGCAGAGAAAAAAAAAAAAAGCTTTTCTCACTTGAATTGGATTCACAAGGTTCCAGCAGGGCTGTAAGAAAACGTGGTGGGGATACCGGAGTGTATGAATGCTATCCAAACCACTTTTTGAGTTGAACTGGGACCTTCCCTTTGTCAGGATGGAGTGGTGCCCATCCACACCCTGCCTGAGGCTGCAGGGGGTGAAAAGGGATGCTGGGCTTCCACCTGCTGGAGACAGCCAGAGTGTGGGAGAGGCAGAGGGACATGGATAGGAGTGTCCCAATGCTAGGACGTGGGGTCCTGGGAAGCTGAGTGCTGGCCCTGCCCAGATGCCTATCAGCTTTGCACACCTACGTTCTTCACTGCCTTTTGACACTCTTTGCAGAAGATGAACAGGCACGCAGTGATTTCAACACAGGCAGACTGCTGCTCACAGAGTGATACTAACCCATTTCTGTCTTTGATTAGTCACAGCCCAGGGCGAACGATATTTAAAAGAAGGGATCCTGCTACAAGAGAAGGTGCCCCACCTTTTGAGAAAGAAGGGCTAGTTGTATAACTTCAGACCCGTCTTCATTTCTTGGCTGGGAACTTCCTCCTTTCACCACACCTACATGACTGGCAAAAAAAGAGAGCAAACAGCTGTCAGACACAGCGAGCACATGCCAAAGAAACCGCAGGACCCGTAACATTTTCTACCTGTAGAAGTTCCATGCAGGAGCCCATATGCTGAGGCTGTGTGTCACGTTCTTCTGCCTTTTGTATGGGGTGAAAACAGGTAGGAAGTCAATCGTTTTGATTTTTTTGTTCAATGTCACGCTTTCTCTGCTTTGCAGAAGCATAAACCTATCTGCCTACTGCTTTATGAGGTCACTGTGTAGGACTTTTAACTAGCATTACTGTCTTAAAGCAAACTGCCTTGGTTCTGTGAACTGAAGAGTTCCAAACATAAAGCCAGAAGTCGTTTGTATGATCTCTTCTTCACTTTGCAAACATTTCTCTTATATAAGCACCATCCGTCGACACTCAAAACGTCATCTGAAATCTTCAGAGAAGAATGATTTCTTTTCAGCAGCACATTACATGACAGCCACAAAGGATGAATTAGCATTTATGAACGCTAAACTTCACTTGGTATCCTGGTGGCCCCATCAAGAATCAACCTGTTTAATAATCAACACATGTGCTGCCTTCTGTTAGCACGCACATGGGAGCACGTCGCTTGCTTTGTGAAGCTGCAGCTCCATGCTTTGCAGGGAAAACAAACAGGATTTGGGACAACCCAAAGTGTTCTCACGAAGGCAGATATTTCATCAGGTTCCCTGGGGCAGTCTTGGAGGTCTCGTTTTGCTTATTGTGATGAATACATAGTAATAAGTGGGAGGCACTTAAGGCCATTTTAAGAGGTGGAGGGCAGACTCTTCGTGTGGAAAGCATGGAAATACTCAGTAATGCTGCTAAGATTTGCTGTGTGGCAGTGCTCGAAGCTGACCACTTTAGTGCTGATGCATAAGGGTCTCTTGAAACAAAAGGCACATCCCAGGCAAGGTAATGATGCTTTGGAAGTCAGGGATGCTGCAGGCTGCCATGGGAGCAGCAGCACGCTGGCTGGAGGTCTGCAGAAGCTGCTAAGCAAGGAGCAGGCTCTTGGTGGGCTCTTTGAGGCAATGTGGTCTCCCAGAGCTCACAGTTAGGACAGCCACAGATCTGACAGAAGCAGCACAGATGAAGTGATGATGAGGAGAAACCTTTTGGACCTTCGCTTTGCAAAGAGGCCAAACTGGCAGAGTTAAAAAACGGAGACGCCATTCTTTTCTGTGCAAAAAGCCTCAAAGATGAGGACCTTCCTGTCCGTAGGATGAACACCAGGACAAAAGGAAGGGAAAGTCTCCAAACACCATCTCCAAGGAAGGGATGAGAGAGCCCAGGAGGACGCAAGCCTTACTTGGCACTGACTGCAGTGCCTGCTGCAGGGTCTGCCCAGCACCATTCTGATGGCCTCAGTGCTCCCACCTGCTCCTGGTGCCCCAAAGCTGTGCTGAAGATGCTCCTCCTGCTGCAGGCACACCTGAGAGGCTGATCTCATGCTCAAGGCAGAAGATGTTCATCTCCAACATTGGAATATCAAAGCAGATCGCTCTGGCTTCTGCTAAAGCGCTGAGGCATGAGAGCACCTTGCCTAGCAAAGCAGTGTTTGCCATCCTGTGCTTCTCAGGAGGAGGAGTGAATGCAGGATCCCCAGCTGCCCTCGTGTGTCAGCTCCTGTGACACACAGCCATGCAGCAGGGAGAAGCTGGCAGGCTTTCCCCCTCTATCAGCACTCATCTCATTAAAGAAAAGAGAACAAATTTAACAGACTCGGTGCAGATACAACAATGCTTTTTAAAGGCTTCCTGTTCTAGGGATTAGCAAATCCTGAGCAGCTCTTTAACAGCCCTTCTATGGCTGAAGGTTTGGGTTGCTCTGGTGCCAACCAAGTGCTCCCCAGGGCAAGTCACAGCACGGCTCAGAGATAAGAGACAAATGAAGCAATCGGAGCAGCCATGCACCATGTGGAAATAATTCTGGTCCAGCATTTCTGCCTGCATTTCTATAGCCCCGTGGCAGTATGGATGATTAACAATAACGCATACAGGAACTAAAACACATCAAGTTATTAATCAAAGATAAATGTGGGTTTTTTTTTCTCTTACACTGCAGTAGCACCTAAAGGAGAGTCACCCAGTGTCACTGTGTAGCAGCACAAAACCATAGCTCTCCTCTGCTAGTTACTCTGAGATCTCCAGATGGAGGAGAACTCCCTATGGAGAGCAAACAGACCAAGAAAGAGGCACCAAAGGTCACTTTGACTTGAGAAAGCAGGGCCCAGAGTGCCATGCTCCTGGGAGATGGGAGCTTTAGGAGGCAGAACATCCTCAACTCAAAGCCACTGACTTCAGCTGATGTTCACAGGCCCTGCTTGAGAGTTCATTCCCCACTGCTCCCATTCCGCTCTTCGTATCTCAGCACAGGCTTTCCATAGGAAGGACTTCTGTGGATCTCAGATGTTAAAATTTATTTCTGAATTTATAGTAGTAATTTAAAACATCCAGTTGGAGTTAACTGCAACATCCTCTTAGCCTATTAACTTTTATTTCTGGAGCTCCTGGGGCTTCTGCAAAGTAATTAGCAGAACTATGGCAACTGAGCGGATTATTTTATGTGCTGGGCACACAGCATTTATATTATTCTCATGCTTCTGGTTTCCATAGGAGGAAAAAACATGAAAGTTTATTGTGGGAACTGCGAGAGATCCATCATTTAGAAATTAAAATGCACGGAATGCTGGACACCTGCTAGAGCACTGCTGCCTTAAAGCTGCAGGTTTCCCAAACCTCTTCCACCTCCAGCACAGCCCTTTCGAGCAGCAAAAATCCTTTAGCAACCGCAGGGAAACAATTAATGCAGCACAGGGTGTGTGTGCAAGAGAGATGCTTTCTCCCACAAGGTTCTTCAGTAAAAACAAGGAGATTGTGGGCCAGAGAAAGGCTGCAGAACCTGGGAGGGCATCGGTAAGCAGTCTGCCTGGAGACTGTTATTCCTTTTCCTAGCAGTGCCCTGCTGGAGCTTGCATGGGGCTGTGAAGGCTCAGCTGGTGGTCTGCTGGAAAAGCAGAGAACAAAGACAGGCTTTCAAATGGCAGAGATTTTCATGAAAAGCAGCACTTACTGAAAATTTGGGAACTCTCCAGCTGTGTATAAAGCGTTATCAGTACCGTATCTCATTCAGACAAAAGGTGTCCCATTTCACAGTCTGAAATAGCAGGCTGTATCTGCAAATACAAATGAAGCACTGAGCTGTCCCTCACAACAGCGAGATCCCACACAGCTTGCCAGCTCCAGATGCAGAGAGATCTCTTCACCCTAGAGCTTGTCCAGGGCAGCTGGGTGTGCAGTCCAACCTACACAGCCATCACTCTCACTGTCATTCTATAATACCTTCCTCACCCTTCTGAGGTTTCTGGAGAGCCCGTGCCACCTCCCAGCTGCTAGTGGGAGGTATACAGGGTACAGGGCTGTGCTGGTGCACTCGCTGTTCCAACACAGCAAAAAAAAAACTTAGATACAGAGCAGCTCCAGCCTCCGACACGACGGCATGGAAAGGAGCAGCTCAGGCAGCTCCCAGGATACGTTCTGTGCCTGGGCAGAGCTGGCAGGTAGAAAAGGCCAAGAGAAATGCTTGATTGCTAACCTGAGGAATGCCATGCTGTGCTCGTTTCAGACCCCAAGGAGACATGTCCTGCTTTCACCGTGCTCAGCTTCAGCAGCTCCTTGATAGGGACCGACCTGGAAGTGAAGCTGATGCTGTACACCAGGCAGAACGAAGACTGCGCTGAAGAGCTCAATTCAACAGCCTCCAAGTATCTAGATCTGACCAAGAAAACCACCTTCATTATCCATGGATACCGGCCCACAGGCTCTGCCCCGGTCTGGATCACTGACCTGGTGCATCTCCTGCTTTCTGTAGAGGACATGAATGTCATCGTTGTGGACTGGAACCGGGGGGCAACTACTATCATCTACAGCAATGCTTCCAGAAATGGCAAAAAGGTTGCTGAGATCCTGAAGAAATTTATGGATGAAATGTTGGTAAGTGGAAAGTTCACACTATGATATAGTTATTAATGCACAACACGTAAAGGGCACAAAGGAAGTGCTTAAAAACAGCAGCATGTCTGGGAAAAGAAACTCCAAAAAGGGAAAACATTCATTTTTTGGAAATGTAGTTAGGCTGCAGTGCCAAACTCTGTACTTGGATGTGGTAGGATGGCATTTTGCTGTGATACTCAGTTCACTTTGCATTTCTGGATATTTGTTTTCCCATCCACCTTCTGGATGTCCAAAGTCAGCTTAAAGTGACACTGGGCCTCTGCATCTTTGTGTCTGCTAATGGGGCCCATGAAAACTCGTTCCTGCCCAAGCTGCACTCACTGCCCCAGAGAAATCCAACCTCTGCCTGAGCTGCTGCATTCACAGCTCTCGGAATGGGCCTCAAAGATGAGTGCTGGATATACTGTGGGACTAATAAAAGGGGAAATCATAAAATCATAGAACATCCCCAGTCGGATGTAACCCATAAGGATCATTGAGTCCAACTCTCATATTTATACGGACCACTGGAAAACGCAGAAAAAAGCAGAGAGATGTGTTTACATTCATCCTGCTGACTTTTTTTTTATATACCTTTTTAGCATGCCTAACACCTGTGGTTATATTTTTAAATGCCAGATTAACGGCGCGTCCCTTGAGTCCATTCACATGATAGGAGTAAGCCTGGGAGCACACATCTCCGGCCTTGTGGGACAGATGTTTGGTGGGCAGCTGGGCAGGATCACAGGTAACCTTCCTGCTGGCAGCCCTTTTTTGCTTCCAGGACTGCTGCTCACAGCAATCATTGCCAGCTGTGCATTGGGGTGATGACACACAGATGGTTTTGTGTTGCAGGCCTCGACCCAGCGGGCCCCCTGTACAGAGGAAAGCCACCCAGTGAGAGGTTGGACCCTAGTGATGCACAGTTTGTTGATGTCATCCACTCGGACACCGACGGTATGTGGGACATCTCCTCTTCACCACTGAAAGGAAATCTGCTGGGAGCGCAGGTGCAGGTTGGATATTAGGCTCAGGATGGTTCCAGTTGGATATTAGGGAAAATACATTCTCAGAAAGAGTGGTGAGGCACTGGCACAGGCTGCCCAGGAAGGTGATGGGGTCACCGTCCCTGGGAGCGTGCAAGAAAAGCGGAGATGTGGCACTAGGGACATGGTCAGTGTCAGTGTGCATGGTGGGGGTGGATTGATCCTTGGACCTGATGATATTAGTCTTTTCCAACCTTAATGATTCTGTGATTCATAGGGAAGCAGGAGCAGCAGTGGGCAGCTCTGCTAGGACGATCCATGCTGCTTTGGCACCCTGCAAGTCTCCGGGGGGGTTGCTCAGAATGATGCTTCCTGCCTCCATCCCACTTCAGTTGGGTTAAACTGTCCTGTATGGCAAATCCAGCACCTCCCTCAGCCCTTTCCTCTCCCAGCATGTCTCCAAACCCCCCCGCTGGGCCAGCAGCATGACACGAGCCCTCTGTTCTGCTCCCTCTGCTCCCCCTTCTCACCTCCCTGCTGCCTTTTGCCACTGCCAACAATTCAGACCTCAGCAGCACAGAATCACCCAATGTTTCAGAGCCCTCTTCCTCTCCTGCAGGCAAAGAAGGTAAATTTTGCACTGTGTCACACGCACAGACTTACTTTAGGTGTCTGGTACCACTGCTAAAATGACCTCACTGGGTCCCAGTTTGGCCCATTGCACAGACAGGTGAATGACTTTAATGTACCCTGCACAAGCAGGCATCCTAGAGCTAAATAAGCATTATATTCTCCAGTTGGTTTCTTGTTTCCTTCCTTGCCATCCTCCTATTCAATATTCCCTCCCTGGCTATCTTTCCTTCCCAGGACTGGGCTACGCAGACGCCCTTGGCCACATTGACTTCTACCCCAATGGTGGCACCGACCAGCCAGGCTGCCCACTGACAGTATTTGCTGGTAATTCATTTTTGAACTGCACACACACACACACACTGACAAAATGTTTCCAATCAGAGAACAGGAGAAGGCTAAAGAAACATCACCACAGCTCGAAAATAGATGGGAAAGCCATAAGAGCAATCCCTTGTTGATACACTGATGTAATGGGCTCAGCTGGTGGGCACTGATGTCCGGGTCAGGGTTGGCACAAGCGTCCACGGGATGGATTTTTCATGCAAAAAAACATTGAGTAAATTTATAGCCTCATTTTGTGGCTATGTTTAGAAAACAAAGGAAGGGTTTTTTGTACCCCAGGGAATAGCAGTGGTAAGAACCTGCTCAGAAAGCAGGTTTGAGATGAAGGCAATGAGGTCTGTTAGATGGATGCAGCCACAGACGGTGCTGTTTTCTTGCAGCATGACAATTGCTAATGAAATATTTCTTCTCTGTGTACGGTTAAGGATTGAAGTACTTTAAATGTGACCACCAGAGGTCTGTTTTCCTGTTCATGGCATCCCTGAAAAAGAGCTGCAATATCACAACATACCCATGTGAGTCATACAGGAGCTACAGGAGGGGGAAATGTACCAGCTGCGAAACCTTCCAACCCATGCCTTGCCCCATCCTAGGTAAGGACCAGGGGAACACAAAGGGATTTCCCCGTGCTTTGCACAAACACTTTGCATCATGATCTACAACAGAAATTCACACGGATGGGATCCAGGGTGGGAAAACCAAAAGAAGAATTGAGATCTTTACACGACGGGCTGCTTTGGAGTGATAGAATCACAGAATGGCTTGGGTTGGAAGGGACCTTAAGGACCATCTGGTTCCAGCCCCCTGCCCCACCAGCTCAGGCTGCTCAGAGCCCCTGGCCATGAGCACCCCCACAGATGGAGCACCCAAAGTTGAACAGAGATACGCTGTTTCTTAAGTGTTTGCATTGTTATTCCCAGCAATTCAATTGCTGATGTGCCTGCTCAGTAACCCTCTGTTTCATTTTTCAACTGTTGTCTACAGGCTATTACGCTCACGAGTGGAAAAGCCATTTAACACAGCAGAGCCACCCAGTGACAACCATGTATTTTGATACCGCGGACGAAGAGCCATTTTGCTGTGAGTGACAAAGATTGCTGAAATGCTTTCTCTTTGCTCATCACCTCCTTCAGCAGAGATGGTGGGCACTGACATGGAGACAGGAAGAGGAGAAAGAAAAAGCTTCTGGGTGTACCGTGATGTAACCCTATGGAGCATGCTTCCCCTGGGATTTCCCCACATGCATCCACCCACACCTCACCCCACGGCTCTTAACACTCGTGATAGGGCTGGGATGCACAGCAGGGCAGGGTGTGACCACGCTCTCTCTTGCTCACAGTGTACCACTACTTCGTGGACATCGTTACGTGGAACAAAGGCACCAGGAGAGGCACGCTCAGCGTGGTGTTAGCTGATGGCACTGGGAAGAAGGCAGAATCCAAAGTTAACCCGTAAGTCTCACCGACCTGATGACGTACCAGTATTAGCAAACCACTCAGCACAACTGGAGCTGGGAAGGAAGCAAGACCTCCTCCTCCCATTTTTTGCTGATCCTTGGTGCTGTACACATGCTAGGTGACCTCCACGGTCCCCTGGTGCGCACCAGTGCAGCCCAGCCCTTTGCTCTGGGTGCTGCTCAGCTCCCCAAGTGCTGTTGTGAACAGCAGGGCTGCCCCTGGCCTCCAGGAGGGCAGGGCAAATCCCAGCACCCCACTTCCTTGCACCCAGCACAGCAGAGATGAACCACGGCCTGAATTACGTAACGCCCAAATCAATTCATTCTGCTTGGAGAGGCAAAAAAAAACAACCAGCATTCATCTAGACGTGCAGTTTCCCATTGATATGAACACACTTCAGCCCAGAGTCCTGCTCAACCAGTTTCCCCACATCTCTCTCACTGCATGTTCTCCCAGCCCTATATGCCCACGTTGGAACAACCCACGTAGCTCCAGCTTGCACAACCCGTGGCAGCCCACACACGGCCTATTTACTGCAGGCAGGTAAGAGCACGTCCTGCTCATCACACCTCCCAGAGCCCCCAAAGGAGGGCTGTGTGTGAGTGCTCCAGCTTGGAGGCACCTCCAGTCACAGCTGTGTTCCTAAAGGAACCTCACAGCTGCCATGTGAGCAGCTCTGTGCTGGCCACCATCGCTCAGAGTGGCTGAACAGGTTCACATTGCAGATCTGAACGTGCAGCCACTTCCTGAAAATCAGAAACTGGTCACAAATCCGGTCCTCCTCCCCCAGCACTGTGCTTAATATTGCATTGACTGCATTAAAGCCACGCTGTTCCCCTGGGGACTCCCTGACACTTGTCTGCTTTATCTCTAGCGTAGCTGCAGCCTTCCAGCAGTACAACCACGTCAGTTTGCTCGTTGGATTCAACCAGGATTTTGAAAACGTAAAAAGGATTTCCGTGACGTTTTCCACAGGATCTGTCATTGGTCCCAAATTCAAACTCAGGATTCTCCAAATGAGGTTCCGGTCACTCACAAACCCAGAAAGGTAAGTGCTGCACAAACCGTCCTCACTGCAAGCTGGGCAGAAGTAGAGAAATCTCCCACATCCCAAGGCTGGCAAGAGGAATTACATTAGGTTCAATAATTCTTGTATACACATCTTGGGAACAAATCCCCCACCATCTGCATGACCACACAGGTTATCTTATTGTGTTGAAAACGTAATTTGTGGGCTGATGTTTTAAGCTCCAGTCAGGATGGTGACCTGCGTGTGGCTGCACAGAAAGCTGCCCAGGCCTGAACTCGGCGCTGAAAGCAAACAGAACTCAGGGAAATACAGCCACGTTTTACATCGCATGTGATGTCCGTAGCCAGTTAGGGAGATTCATTCCCTCTTGGAGTGACTGGGAGCTGCAAAGCAGTGACAGCACACGCTGATGGGATTTCTGCAGAGGCTTCGCTCATCCTTACCACCTCCACGTGCTCTGCAGCCGCACCCTCGCACCGAAAAGACCCCCAAGTCCAACCCCAGCCCACCCCCCTCAGCACCACATCCCCACAGCTCTGTGCGCCTCCAGAGACGGCGATTCCCCGCCTCCCCGTGCAGCTGTGCAGCGCCTCGTGCTTTATCGCAGGCCGCCGCTGTGCCGGTACGACGTGGTGCTGACAGAGAACGCGGAGCGCAGCTTCAGACCCATCCCGTGCGGCGAGCGGCGGCGAGGAGCAGCAGCAGCAGCAGCGGCGGCGGCGGTGACAGCGGGCGGCTGAGAGCTGTCGCGTCCCGCGGGCACCACACGGTGGCGCTGCGCTCAATACAGACGTACAACCCGAGCCCCAGCGCTGTCGGCACACTCCGCCCCCCCCCTTCCGCACACGCGCACAGCGGCCGCCCTGCGCATGCGCGGCGCTCCGTGTCGATCGCGGTGCCGCGATGTGGCGGCGGCCGGCCGGGTTGCTGTTGGTGTTCGCGGGCTCCACGGCCGCGCTGTGGCTGCTGTCGGCGCGGCTGGGCGCGGGGCAGGCGGGCAGGTGGGTGCGGGAAGGCGGGCGGGCGGACGGCGCGGTCGGAGCCGCGACGCGATTCCCGCTGCGCGTCCTATTAGGCAGCTGCGCTTCCCTTCGGACCTGGAGGAGCTGCGGGAGCTGACCGACGCGCTGCGGGACTACGAGCGGCGGCACCGCGGGGCTGCCGTGCTTCTGTTCTGCGCCGCCTATCTCTACAAGCAGAGCTTCGCCATCCCCGGCTCCAGCCTGCTGGTAGGGCCGCGCTGCGGGGCCGCGCTCCGTGCTGCGGGGCCGCGCCCGGCTGTCGGCACGCCGTCTCCCCGCAGAACGTTCTGGCCGGAGCGCTGTTCGGGCCGTGGGTCGGGCTGCTGCTCTGCTCCGCTTTGACGTCCCTGGGAGCCACCTGCTGCTATCTGCTGTCCGGAGCCTTTGGGAAGCGTTTGGTGGTGAGCTGCTTTCCGGATAAAGTGGCTCTGTTGCAGAGAAAGGTAACGGCTGCCGTTCCGGCTTTGGTTCGGCTCGGGTCTCGTTCTCGTTGCTCGCGTGCCCCACCGCTGGGCTCCGGGCGTTCACCGCTCAGCGGTTCTGGAGCGGTTGTGTTGCGGTGGGAGGGGGAAATACGTTGCCGCAGCCCTGGAGGTGCTCAGAGCCGGGCTGGATGGGCTGCGGGCAGCCTGAGCTGATGGCAGCTCCCAGCCCACAGCAGGGAATGGGACCAGCTTTAGGTCCCTGCCGAGCCGTTCCAGGGCTGGGGCCGTTCCACTCGTACTGCTAACAAGGAGCTTTTCTCTTGTCAGGTCGAAGAGAACAGGAGCTGCTTGTTTTTCTTCCTCTTGTTCCTGAGGCTGTTCCCCATGACACCAAACTGGTTTCTGAATCTCTCGGCTCCCATTCTGAACATCCCCCTGTCCCAGTTCTTCTTCTCCGTTCTCATCGGTGAGGCCTGGGGATGCTGGCAGAGGGGAGGTGGTGGCACTGCCTCCTCAGCACCGCGCCCTGGGCTGGGGAAGGCAGAGCAGCAGGGCTGAGCTGGAGCTGCCCCAGTTAGCTGCTCACATTCACAGCATCACAGAATGGCCAGAGTTGGAAGGGACCTCAAGGACGATGAATCTCCAACCCCCCTGCCACATGCAGGGCCACCAACCTCCACATTTAATGCTAGACCAGGCTGCCCAGAGCCCCATCCAACCTGGCCTTGAACACCTCCAGGGATGGATGGGTCATCCATAGCCTGTCTGGGCAGCTGTTTCAGCATCTCACCACTCTCACAGTAAAGATTCACACTGTTCTTGTAAATGTGGGTGCAGCAGCAGCAGCACAGCAAAGCTGTGTGTCACACCCTTCTGTTTCTGTCACAAACACATATCCGACCTTGGGCAAGGGTGCATTTGGGCTAATTTGGCATTCTTGCCAAATGGAGGCAAAGAGGATGCTAACTGTCTTTTCTTTTTGCTTTGATTCTTCCAGGTCTTACACCCTATAACTTCATCTGCGTACAGACAGGAGCCATTCTGTCACAAATCAACTCTCTGGATGCCATTTTCTCTTGGGACACACTGCTCAAGCTGCTTCTAATGGCCATGGCAGCATTGATCCCAGGGACTCTGATCAAGAAATACAGCAAGAAGCACTTAAAGCTGGATGAAGACGAGCACGCTCCATTACTCAATGGCAAAAAGAGCATGTGATGGCTCAGATGGCCCAGGTGCTAGGGGACTGCTTCACAAAAGCTGCAGGTCTCTGTTCCTGTGGGTTATATTCTGCATGCTCTGTGTCCTTGTGGACCATGGATAATTGCAGCTTTTACTCTTCTCCTCATCTAAGAGGAGGTGTAACGTTCTCCTTTTTAATTAATGTTTTATCGTGCATGGATCTGCACTGAAAATGTAATAGAAGGAAACTTGGTGAACACTGGAGGTAAATCGCCTGTGTCCTTTAAGTCAGCCTGCATCTCTGTTGTGCTGCCAGCCTATTGCAGATGCATTAGCAGAAAAAGGCAGGATAGTGGCAGCCCTGGAGGAAGGTGAGTTGTCCCTCCTGGCCAAGCACCACACTCCTGTGGTCTCCCTGCCACTCCAAACCCAGGTTTCTCTGGAGGCCTGCACTTCTCCACAAGGCCAGCTCCAGTGTTGGTGCAGCAGTACTCCAGGAGGAGGGGAAGCCTGGGCTGGTCCCAGCACCACCACTGCCTGCTCACAGTGAGGCAGCACTGCACTCAGCTGTGCCAGCAGAAGCCTTGGCTTTTTTTCCACTGCCTTTCTAAAAGCAGCATTTCTCATCAGCTCTCAGGCTGTGTTCCTCCCCCAGCCCTCTCCCCACCCATACCTATTCAGCATTTTTGGCGAAAAATGAAAAACAATCCTACCTTCTGTGCTCTTAGGTGCAGAGATAGAAATAGCAAGTTGAAAGACAAAAAAAAAAGAATGTTTCAGGTTCACTAGTTTGTCCCTGTACCTTCCACAGGAGAACTTTCCCAGATTCAGAAGACACTTTGCCTGTCACTGTGCTGTAATGCACATCCTGCAGTGAAAACATCCAAGTTTTGAGGACAGCCAGGAGGTGTCTCTGTGCATCAGGTCTGACAGGGAGCTGCTCCTTCCCACCACAGCAGCCAGAGTTGGAAGCGACCAGGACAGCAAAGGGCAAAGTTCTCAAGATTCAACTACCCAGCTCACAGCAAAGCAGCTTGCACAAGTAAAGGTCACTGCTCGGGGACAGCTAGTGCTTAAAGTCTACTTGTGTGCCATCACATCTGGTATTCAGAGCTCCAAGTAGTTCCAGCCTGGCTGGGGTTAGAGACAGGCAACTGAAAAACAAACTGCTTGCCCACATCTCATTAATTATTGAGAGACTTTGTCCCAAAGCATACCGCAAACCATTCCCAGATACCAGACCAGCCTGAAAAACGTTGAAGTACACTGGCTTTTTATTCCATGCATTGTTTGCTTTGATAGTCATTCTTGTTTCCATCACTGTACACTGTTCAATACAAAAAAATCAAGTTTGTATCAGGAATCCGCAGAGCAGGGAGGAGAGAGATGAACACTACTGGACAGGGCCAGGATGAAATGGTTACTTAACACGACAGTGGGGAAGGCAACATTCAGCATTGGGAGAAAATCTAGGCTAGTGTTCAGGAGCTGTCAGCAGCCACGAGAACTGGCTCAGGGAAGTCAGGATGCTGGAAAGGGAAGTGTTCTGTTTACTTCTGTCCTGCAAACACGGTGTTGCTGCAAGGATGTGCACAGAACTGCAGCGACGCATGCGCAGTCCACGTGCAGAGCTGGGCCAGTGGCACCAGAGCACTGCTCAGCCCCTGCACAGCCATACACACAGGGTGTGTGCAGGCAGAGGGCTGGGATTACACCCCCACTGGTACAAGGCTGCATGTTCACACAAGGAAGGGGCAGCCCTAGTGGCAGTCCCAGAGGGACACTGCATAGTAGGCAGCAGCTACGAGGAGCAGAGAAGCTGGACGTAACGCTGTGATGAGCTGGGCATGCAAAGAAATCAGGCCGCAGTGTGGCTGCAGTGTTTGCCAGCAGGCAGCCAGAAGGGTTCAGCTCTGCTCCTCCAGCTGCAAAACAGGGCAGCGTGTGCCAGGGCGAGGCAGGAGCAACCACTGCTCCCCCAGGACAGCTGGCCAGGAAGGTCCCCAAATCCCACACACCGAGGCATCCGCATCTCTGCAGGCCCAGAGCACGTTGTGAAGCTCTGAGCTGAGGCTGCAGCCACCAAAAGCCCCATAGGATCATCTTGGTAGGGACAGAGTAGCACGGACTGAAGCACAGAGACTGAGACAGGCCTGAGCTGGAGGTGGCTCTGCTGAGGGCCTAGTGCTGCAGGACTGCTTGGGGGTACGATGGTAGATGCGATGGGGAGTTCTCAACCTCTTTTTATGGAGTAGTTTGATCTTTGTGTGCATATGTTACATGCACAATTCTGCACCGCTCACTGCTCACGCCCTAGCCTCCAGCTTGCTGGGTAACTATCTGTACCACCTCATCTGCACCAAAACCTCCCACACCACAACAGCACTGCCTTGCCACCACCGCACGCCGCCAGCCATGGGAGAGGCCTTTGGGTGGAAGAATGAGTGATGGAAGAGAGAGTAAACAAGAAACAAACCAGACAAGAGCTTCACTCCCCTCCACGCTCTGTCTCGGCGCAGAGCTGAGCGTTGCTGCTGCAGGCAGGGTGAGCTGATCTCCTCTCCACAACCTGCACAGTCCTGCAGCAGTGATTCATCATGTGCCAGCAGTAACTGCCCACCTCTCTGCCTGTCCTTCTGGATGCTCTTTACCAGGGGATCTGTACAGGTTACTCCCTTTGTGACCAACACCACAGCCACTCGCTCCCTGGTCACTGTTCCCTACCAGCTCATGGGCTGCCAACTCTACCAGCAACACGAGGAACTGCAGCATCCCCACAAGGACTCCAGGGCTCACAGGCTGACTGCAGCCATTCCACCCTGACCAGCCATGCCAGGATCCCTGCCCGAGGGTGACAGCACCCATGGGAAGCGTGGCAGGCAGCAGCTACTGACAGCCACTGAGACCAGCTCTGCTCCCATCTCTCCCAGTGACCAGGGAGAAGGTAACGTCACACAAACAGATTACAATTGTGCTAGCAGTGAAGCCAACCTTCTGATCTACAGAAATGATAATAAATAATAAAATAACATCATAACTTAAGATCTGTGTGTAGTCCAGCTACAAAATTTTAAAATATGGGATAATTTAACTCATACAATACTGCTCTCTGTATTAAGACATTTTCCTTCATTTTGCCACGAGGCTATAAATTACCACGGATAAATTCAAAGCAATAGTTTTTAACATAAAATGTAAACAAACAAAGCAACAGAAGTACCTGTCCATGGTCCATTCCTGCCGTTCATCTCAGGCTGGTGTGCCAGGCTGCGGGGCAGCACCGGCTGTGTCAGCCAGCACGCTACGAAGGGCAGAGTGAAAGCTCTTGTAGGGGAAGATCAGCTAAAGGGAAGGGAGGGGAGGACGTGCTCTATCGTTTTGTTCTCTTTAAATATTGATTTAGAAGAGTAGTGTTTGAAGGGAAGGCACTATGAGTTCTATCAGAGAACAAACTTTTCTCATCTGCCAATGCCTCCTCGGCCTGTCCACGTAGCAGTATTATCCTCACTTTCACCTGTAGAGTTTCAGCTCGAAGAAGAAACAGGGGCCTCAGGGTACACCTGAGACACAGCTGTGCCACAGCCACAAGGTTCCCTGCGCAACCTGGTTTGCACCAAGCCTGACATGAAGGGCAGGCAGCTGTGAATGCTTCCAAGAACATACAGTAAGGAGACAGAGCAGGGCTGATGCTCGTATCTAGGCCAGTGATTCCCAGTCTTCCCCCCCCAACACACAGCTCTCTGCTGGTTACTGATGCTGTTGTAGGTGAGAGGCTGCTTCTCCAAGTCCAGCACAGGCATCTCCAGTTTCCTCCCCAGAAGAGTGCTCGGGCTCTGCAGAACGTGCTCTCCAAGTTCTTGCTTTTCCAACACTGATTTGATTGATTTCTTTAGCTGACTGAAACAGACAGGAGGTAAGAGGAGGAAGTAAACTGGGAAATGGCACACTGCATCTGAAAGAGGATTCCCTGCTCAACTGGAGGTCAACACTGCCAGAGTGAAGCAAGGACGATGTTAAGAAGTGCTCTTATACCAATTCTTGAGAGGACGAGGTTAGAATACATTTGCAGGATCTCACAACCATACGTTGATTAAAAAAAGAAACTAAAAACCCTTAAAATAAAACCCATTATTACATTCCTGGGGATGCATTGACTCAGAAGACCCTGGATGTTAGCACCTCAGTACCAGTTCTCTCCAGGAACACGTCCACCTTCTGATTTAAAAAAAAATGACCCAGCTGGTTATACTGAATTCGCTTTGTTCACAGGTTACCTTACAGTAAGGTCTTTTTTTTTTTTTTTTACACTTCCTCATGTGATAAGACGGAGTAGTTTTGTTTTCTTGATCTGTTCTCCAATCTTCAGGGCCGTGAGGCCTGGTCCCCTGTGAAAGCAGCAAGAGAATCCCCTGCTCTGTACACAGAGCTGTCCAGGCAGGACTCCCAGGATGTTTCTCTGTAATGTGCTTGCTTTCTGAATTTTTTTTTTTTTTTTTTTTTTGCAACAAGTCTGTGTGTCTATAAATACAATCCACTCTTTACAGTAAAAAGTGTTAAAATGTCAAAAAAATAAATATCCATGTTACAGTAACTAGATTATTCAATAAAATACATCCCTGCCATTCTTGATTGAAATGCTCAAAGAGAATTAATTTCATTTGGACATTTTCCAGAGATTCAGGTTATTGCAAATCACTCCTGGGGTGGGAAGGAGAAACATCTTCTCTTCCTGTAAAGTGTGATGAAGGGGAATGAAGTGGAATCTCAGGGAAATCAAAATGCCAGTATCAGAAAGCTTTGGGGGAGGATCTGTATTACCAAGTAGCAGAGCTGCAGGGCTTATTGGTCCTGACTGTGGCATCAGAACACTCCCCTTCAGAAGAGTCACAGTCTGATTCTCCAAACTGTGCTGGGTTCTGCAAAGCAAAAGAAAAGGGAAATATTTAAGCAACAATCCTACCCTGTAGATCAACCACACCATCCCAGTCAGTAACAAGAGCTGGGTAAAGGTCACCACCAGCAGAGAAGGACAAGATGGCAACACATGGGAGATGTCAACAGCACATAAGTGCACTACCAAAGGTCACTCCTCTACCCCTCAAGGAGGAGACAAAGAAAAATATCTGCTCAGAGCACCATCATCACACACAGACGAGGGGATGAGGAAACGGTGCAGCACGTTCTGCCCTCCCTGTCCTGAACACTACAAAGACAGTACAAGAAAGAAAACTGTTCTAGCTTCATCACTGGTCTGCCAATGGCTA